TGGGGGGTCTGGTTGCAGGGTCGGGGGGAAAGGGGGGAGGGGTAGGCATGTTTAACCATTTTTTTTTAAATTCCGGCGCACATGGCGCACAGGTCGCAGTGCCCGCACAAGTCGCAGCGCACCGCACAGCGCACAGTGCGCTGTCTGCTAAACCGGCGCACAGCGCACTGCACACGTGCGCCGCAACTATGCCTTAAAAACTAACAAAAGGTAATGAATTATTAATAATTCAAAAATTGGGGTTGTCTAATAAATTATTATAGAGAGAGAGCATGTCCGAACCCCCCAAAAAAGCATAAACGGGCCTGAAAACCCCCCAAAACAATTTTGGGGGCTTGGCTCCTCGATGGGGAAGGGTCCTGGAGCGTTTTTTTTTTTTTTTTTCTTTGAATTTTATCAGATCCTAACCTTCCAGACCGGATGTCTGGAGTCCGGACTGAATCCAGACTGTCTGGACGGCGATCCGGAAGTCCGGATCGTAGCCATGGTTCCTAGGCTTAAACCACAAGTACCTCCACGTTTTTAGGCCATTAACGCGGTGAGCGAATCGGTGCGCCGCGGGGGTCCATATGCATTCGTTTTTAGGCTGTTAATGCGGTGAGCGAATCGGTGCGCCGTGGGGGTCCATATGCATTTGTGTCAGAGGGGGCCCAGAGGGGGCCTAAGGTCCCCTGGGGTACTGGTGGTTTAATCCAGTCTTTCTTTGTGAGCTGGACATGTTGCTTCTTTAGCTCCTTCATATTTGTTGGTGACATCCTGTAGATTTATGTTTTCAGAGGCATTGCATCGGGTACACCAAATGAATTGGGTGCTTCACCTCCCTTTCTATAATAGTTATGTTCTCCTCCTGCAGATCATGGTGCTGCTCCTCATGTTGTTGATCATGGCCTTGCCTCCCTGAGCAACATACGGCAGTCGGCTCAAGAAACTGACCAGCGAAGTGTCTCTGCCTAGGCTCACTCTCTCCTAAAGTAGTGCTGAAACTCTCGTCTCACATGGCAGCAAAATGTGGTGAATGAAAACTCTAAATGAAGATTTTGTCCCAGCCGCTCATCACTTCTGAGTTGGAGCTACTTGCCTAGGCTTACAGTGTCTTCCTACCAAAAGATAGCAGCCAAAAAGGTTTTACCACTATGCTACCGTCTTCACCCGAATAGAACGCCCGGCAATTATCACTGCATCTGGACTAAAAGCTGTGCCAAATGCAGCTATAATGGCCGGGCATTCTATTCGGTTGAAGACAGTAGGCAAACTGAGACTCTACATGGAGGGCCTGGATTCAGAACTTGTCAGCTCCAGAACAGGAAAGAAAAGCAAAACAAGTTTAAGCAACTGTACTCACTTTTGTTTGGCTCCAGGTTCAAATCCTTGCAAGAACAAAAACCAACAGAAACTTGAAACACAGCAAACAGTTGGGCAGGTCGCGGGTTCAAATCCCACAATCCCAACAAATATCAGGCCTGGCTTTAAGTGAAGGCCACAACAAAAAATGTGTCTGTCAGCCCGAAGTGAAGGCTGGCGTGAGACGGTGGAAAGAAAGGCTGGGCGCAGCCTCTCTAACTAACGGGTAGTCCCAGCTTCTTGGTTTCTTGCAGAGGCTGGGGCCCTGAGACTGAGTCTCGAAGGTTCTCAGCCTGGCAAAAGCTGAGACGCAGTCCAGGCAGCCGTGGCCTCCAGGAAGTCACAGCAGCAGGGAGGCCATACACAGCATTCCGCAGAGTCGCAGGCACTGGCTGCCAGCATTAGCTATGCTGACAGCACACGTGGGCCAGGCCAGTGCTCACATGAGGGAGGAGATGAGGAGCCAGCCATAGCAAAGCTGCTCTGGCAGCGGCAGTGGCAACCATAGCTGTGCTGGGTGGAAGAACTGGTGTGATCAAGGAGAAGGAAAGCAGTGTAGGAACAGGCGGACTCGCCTGGCGAAGTCCGAAGAGCAGACTGGCAGTGGTCAGACTCTGCAGCATTGTTAGGCGAAAGGTGAGTGGACAGAGGGAGAGACTGGGTGTGAGAGACAGAAGTAGGCTGTGTGTGGAGAGAGAGTAGGAGAGTGGTATAAGCAGTCACGTCATGGTAGAGCTGCTACATTGTGGTTGTATTGATGAGTGGTGGCAAGAAGTTGGGCTCTCTCTATCAAGAGACTTCAGTGTGAGTGTGTTCTCATTTGGTGTGCTCTTGGCTTTATAATTCTGCTATCGACTGTGCTCATACTTTCTTGTTCTGCTTTGAGTCTTCTGCTGCTCAAAATTTGTGCTCCATAGTCTCAGCCACATGAATGAAAGGATTTCAAGCGACTCTAGAGTCTCGGTCCGGGTTCCAAGTCCCAGTGTCCCATGTACCATAACCCCAACCAGCAGGCCCACGCAGTAGTTCGGTAGGAATCGTAGGTCTCGGACCGAAGAATGAGCCGATAGTCAATTCGTGAGGAACTGGTAGGCTTTGTTAGTCTGTCAGTCATTCCGTGAAAAGTCGGGGACGTCGTGGGCCGACCACGGCCACAAGGAAGGTACCGACACCGGATTGGGAAGTGCAGCAAGCACAAAGCCCTAGCCAGCCAAGCTTCAACACAGTTTCCATTCCTGCATGTCGCCGAAGCGTGCTGCTGACCTGTGTGCTCAAGCATCGCATGTGGCATTAGTAGTTGTACTAGTAGATGGCACCGGGTGCCATAGCTGGTAGTTGAGAGTGAGACTGAGTGCGGTGGAAGACAGAGATTGAGCGAGTGTAGCCTGTGACTGTTAAGAGAGAGAGAGAGAGAGAGAGAGAGAGAGAGAGAGAGAGAGANAGAGAGAGAGAGAGAGAGAGAGAGAGAGAGAGAGAGAGAGAGAGAGAGAGAGAGAGAGAGCCGAGCGGAGATTTGGCAGCCATAGCCGCACACTTGTGTGCATACAAGGACTCGTTGTGCATCTACTGTTGATGTGCATCTCGTGTCAAAGCCTTCTGTCAAAGCCGCACACGTGTGAGAAACAGAGTGATATCGTGCAATCATTGCGGTGTTATCAGAGTGGACTCTCTTTGTCTTCCGATGAAAGCGACGGGCTTGAGTCGGTGCGCGAAGTAAGGCAGTTGGCATGCAAAGATTGAGGCTGCTGGGTGAAGGAAGAGATTGACAGCAGTAGAAAGAAGATTGGGTTCACGAGGAGGACATACTGTTTGATTGGTGATAGAGAGGTCACGAGGAGGAGCTACGTTTCTGTATGTGAGGAGCGAATGTGGCCACAAGGAAGTGGTGTTTGTGAAAAGAAGAGTGAAGTCGTGGGATCATTGCACACATGTTGATTGGCAGTGTGTACGGTGTGCTGGGCCATAAGACGCAACAGATTGGTGTACTTTATGAATGCCTTTTCAATCTTGGATAAGACTTTGCTGCACTGGTTTTTGCACCCTGCCCTCTGCCAGAGCATCCTTCCTCTCGCATATGGCCGATCCCAGCCTACGAATATGCGGAAGGGCTGCAGACCTGGACAAAAGTTGCCATTGATAAACGTACAGGAGAGAGGGGTGAGTATACCGAATGTGGCTTTCCAAGATGCCCACCTGCGAGAGTGGGAAATCATGTGAACTGACAGAGATAGCAGGAGGTGGGGGTTAGTGCATGGTATGTGATTGTCCTGGTCATTGTGGATAGCCATACCGTTTTCTTGAAGATTATATTGAACCAAGTATGTGTCCGATGGGGTTAATATTGCGTACGTTCATCCAGATATGTATTGTATATATCGTCAAACAGAGCTGCCCGGTACCCGGTAAACCGTAGGCAGAGAGGGAGAAGAGGACAACAAACAAGGGGGCTGTGACAAACTGTATTGTATATGTAGATATCTATGGCCTTTTCTTGTAAGTTCATTACATGTGATCAGTTATCACCCTTTGCTGACACAATGTCATCACCACTTTGTCGCATAAATCAGGTGCGTGGTTCTTGCTCTCTCGGTGCTGTAGCTGTGTCTCCAGTGGGTGTCGGTGAAGATGTAAGTTTGATCTCTCGGCAGTTCTTCCATACGTTCATGCATACCTGTGGTTTAAGGCCCCCCTTTTGGGGTGTTCAACTGGAAAGGGTGCAGAATCATATTCCCATATTTTGCAATGCTTGCAAGAATGTGCAAAATTTGGCGCAGGCGTTTGTGGGATGTTCTCTGCCATCTCGAGCTTTGCATGCCATGCATCAATTGAATGCAGTCTGGTATCCAAAGCAATGCAGGAATGTTGCCGTCAGCCATCAGAAGCCATGTTGTGCTTTGATGCAGCTTCTGCGCCAGAATTTCAGTGGAAGTGCACATTGTAGGCGGCAGCATGTGAAGCCTGGGCACCTGCCAGAGGGGATGCCAAGTAAGCATGGATGGGATCAAAGGGCACGATGCAGCCAAAACCTGCGGGCAAGATTGTGCCATTCGAGTCGGGTAAACGTTGGTCATGTTGAACACGATCCTCCCCGCTCTGCCTACATACACATCCCATTTTGCAGACGCCGCTGCTATTATTGTGATTTCCCGATATCTGTTGTTGGGACGAAGAGCGATCCAGCGTTGATCTCAGAAGGGATGGCGCAGTACGTGGACCTGGTGTGCAAGGAGCTAAAGACGACCGCTCTTAATTGTCAAGCCAGGGGTGGTAATGATCCTGCAATGCCGCACAATGATTCCCCCACATACCCTCTTGATACAGTGTCTTTTGGTGGTGGCACACCATCGTTACTCCCCCCTTCGTTAATGCAGCGGATCCTGGATGGTCTTGCAACTCACTATGGCATTGCGGCTGATGCCGAGATCTCAATGGAGATCGATCCTGGGACTTTCAACGAACCCAGACTGAGAGGGTATCAGAAATGCGGCGTCAATCGCTTCAGCATGGGAGTGCAGGCTTTTCAGCCAGAGCTCCTGTCATCGTGTGGCCGGTCTCATGATTTGAATGATGTGTACAATGCCATCGCTACTTTTCATAAGGTCGGTGTCGAGAACTGGAGCATCGATCTGATTAGCGGCTTGCCGAATCAGACACTGGGAAATTGGCAGCAGTCGTTGACCGAAGTCGTGAAGGCGGCACCTGCCCATGTGTCCGTCTATGACTTGCAGGTCGAGGAGCGGACTCCCTTTGCCAGATGGTATCGATCTGGCGAAACTCCGCTTCCAAGTGATGAATTAGCGGCCAAGATGTATCGTGAAGCATCAAGGGTTTTACAGGAGGCTGGATACAGACATTATGAGATTAGCAACTACGCGAAAACGGGGTTTGCGTCGAGGCACAACCTATGCTACTGGTTGAATCGGTCGTATTACGCGTTTGGGATGGGTGCCACCAGCTACGTTGGAGGCCAGCGGTATACTCGTCCAAAGAAGATGCGTGAATATGCTTCTTGGGTGGATGCGTTTGTCGCCAACGGTGGGCGTCTTGATTGGCCTGTAGATGGCCGAGAGGATCGCCTTCTTGATACACTCATGCTTAGTCTCCGGCTTGATTCTGGAGTGGACCTGCAGGCATTGGAGAGTGAATTCGGAGGAGACGTGGTAGATGTACTGGAGGAGGAATTTGAAAGGTTTTCATCAAGAGGTCTTGTGGCAGTGCTTGACCGCAATGACCATCACATCGCGCCCAATAGCAATAGCAGATTGCCTGGGACTCTAGGCTCGGATTCAACAGAGAGTTCCCTTCTTAGCAACGGTGGTAGAGGGTTTATAAATAGGAAGCAAGAGGTTGGATGTGAACCGGTACATCAAGTAGATGCGGCAGAGGCTCATTCATACAAAGAGGGAGAGGAGAATGGATGGTGCAGTGGTGAAGCACCCATGGAAGTTCCCTCTCCCCAGCGGTCACCGTCTCCTGGCCAACGAAATGTCAAACATGGCTCTATGTGCGAACAGCGAGTCCGGGTCCGTCTGACAGATCCGGAGGGTTTCCTTGTCTCAAATGAGATTATAGCTTCCCTTTTTAATGCCTTAAGTATCAGGGTTTCAAAATAACCATCAAACACACGCACTTGGTGAAAGTCTGAGGAGTCAGTCTGGCAGAGTCATGTTTGTTGGGGAGTTCTGTATAGTGAACATGACGACACACACACGTGCACACACACACACACACACACACACACACAGTTTGGGGTTTTTCGACAAAGTTCCACTGCAACGGCTGCCCGTTCACCCGTCCAGTCTAGTACTAGAGTGCCCACCAAACCGTGCAAGATGTCGTACATCACACGGCTTTCCAGCTTGAGTAATGAGAGAGAGAGAGAGAGAGAGAGAGAGAGAGAGAGAGAGAGAGAGAGAGAGAGAGAGTAAAATGTCTAGGATGTAAACGGGGATGATCAGAGCATCATGTAGGAGGTAGGTTGGACCAAAACGTGCACCAGCTTGGTCGGGAGATCATAATTCTAGAATTTTGGAATTGTTGCATCAGAGTACCTAGGTCTGGAACCGCGATACTGGCTAGACTGTATAGGGAGGGGGAGAATCACAGTATATTATGGTAGTGCAATCTAAACTCTGAAGCAGTATTACAGATTAGGTTCCTCTTTCAACTGGATGTCTCCTTTGCTTTTTGCTGGTGGAAATGCTCGTCTTGTGTGAACGAAAAGTTTTTGTCTGGTCCCTGTTTACCCAGTGAGGGCATGCTCACACTGGAATTCTCCAGGATGTCTTGGGCTAGCAAGTCTGTCAGATTCAGTTGAATCGGTCCTAGAGTGAGCTTACTGAAGACTTCCATTAATTGTGTGTGTGTGTGTGTGTGAGAGAGAGAGAGAGAGAGAGAGAGAGAGAGAGAGAGAGAGAGATTATCACCATGTGATAGTTATTGAACATGAGTGTGTCAGACCGTGAGAGAGAGAGAGAGAGAGAGAGAGAGAGAGAGAGAGAGAGAGAGAGAGAGAGAGAGAGAGAGAGAGAGAGATAGTTATTGAGAGAGAGAGAGAGAGAACAGAAATAGATATATATATATATATATTTTCTTCTCTCA